CGCGAGCGGCGGCTTCGACGACTCCAGTGACGACGAGGGCGCCGCCGCCCCACAGGGCCCTGGCGTCCCGCCCCAGCCCGAGCAAACCGCTTGCAGCCCGCGCTGCGAGGAGCCGGAGGGCTACTCCGGCGGTGCAACCGACGCGCTGGTCGGCCTGCACACCTCTCTGCTCTCCCCAGACGAGCCCTGCGGCGATGGGGACGACATCGGCGCCGCCGCCGCCGTCATGGGCGCAATCCCCGAGGAGCGCCCCGCCAGCCCGCCCGCGCCTGCCACGGCGGCGGCGGCGGCGGCGACTCCGGGCAAGGCGGCCGGCGAGTGCTGGCGCGCGCGTCTGCTGAACTCGAGCGACCCAATGGTGTCACCGGGCCGCATCACCCTCGCGTCAAAGATCAAGTCGGCGCGGCTGGCGGGCTCCCACAGGTGGGCGTGTGGAGCAAGGCGTGAGAGGCAGGAGGGGCCGTGCGCTTATCGGAATAGGAGGGGGCGGGTAGGCGGCATCGTCCCCTCTGGGCCAGAGGGGGTTGGTCGATCTCGGCAGCCTGCAAGCCAGTTTGTGGGCGAGAGGATATTGAGACGTGCTACGCAGCCGTTCGCGCCACTCCGCGACGCGCGAACCATTGCTCCTCTACCGCAACCCATCGCCGGCCGCTCTCGCCGCACCCTACCGCAGGCTTGGGGGCGCCAACGGCGCGGGGCGGGGCGCGCAGCAGCAGCTCGAGTTCGGGGCCGAGGGTGCCACCCACAACTGAGGCTGTCGCCTCACTGCCATGGACGGACAAGCGCCCCGGACACGCGCAGCGAGCCCCGGACAGGCCCTGGCGGCCGCCGCTGCCTTGACTGCGTCGGGGCCTGCGGCTCTTCTGGGCTGTGCGCCCTCACAAGCGTGCGGGCGGTCCGCCTCTGGAGCTGTCGCAGCGACCAGGCGCCGGCGTGCCTGCTTTCCACATCCCAAACAGGCACGTGTTTCCATCGCCCATCAGGGCCAGCAAGCGCGATGGCGCCTCCCAACTAGGACGAATCCTTTCGGCCGCAGCTAGGCCCCAGCCAGGCTGAAAGTCAGTTCCAGCCAGCCTGTTCTGTGGGAGGCGGTCATTCCCAATCAATCCGGTAGAAGGTCCTCCACACTCACACATTTGCTCAACAGCCAACACTCGGCTCGCGGGGGCCAAAGCCAACGCGCAGCTCAAACATATGGGAAGCCAGCAATCACGCTGGCAGCGCAGAGCGGTGATGTTGGGCGCGCCTCCACATCGCTCAACGCCGGCATTTTCCACTGTGCACCATCTCGTGCTGCGGCACCCGTTTCAATGGGGCGAAGCGTTTTGGGGTTATCTGGGACCTGCCGCCCGCGTCTTCCGTCGGTTTGTTTGCGCGCGGGGCCGCCGTCACCGTTGCCCGAGCTTGGTTTTGTGGAACGAGGGCGCTGCTCTTCAGGGGGGGGCTGGGTCCGACAACCCAAGGTACTGGGGCCATGCAAGGTACATCACACATTTTTTCTGGCGTAGGCGCGGCACACTTATCGGAGGGTGTCACGCGATAACACCACTGGCTGCAGCTGCCTGGCTGGACTTAGAAGACAAAGGGGTCGGACAAGGAATCTTGCGCTGCTTGTGACATCACCGTGCTCCATGCCGACACGCAAAACTCGCCCCATGACCTGGGGGTCTCTAGGACTCTTGCTTGCAGCTTGGGTGGGCCATCTGAGCGACTGCGTTGCCGGCCGCGTGGAGCGAGTATAGGCGCGTTACTCTATCTCTTCCGCTTGCTGCTGGTAGCCCCGGACGGCTCACTCGTTTCGCTCCACAGGGGAGCCGACATTGCGTAGGTTGTGCTTTGCATTTTGAAGGTAGAGCCAGCATTGGAGCCGTAGCACGTTTGAAAGAGATTTGGGGGCGTTTGGGCCCGCGTTCTGCCCAGCCGCGTTGGGGCAACAAATTCATGGCCTGCCACTGGTTTGGGTTTCCCCACACTCCTTCCATCTTGCCACACTGACTTTGTCGTGCACTGCCAAGCTAGCAAGTGCCTCCTCTCAGCGCGCGCCCCTGCACCTGTCAACTCTTCGCTTACCCGAGGCACTTGGTAGCAGCAGTCCTGTCGGCAATGATGCACTGCGGGTAGCGAGGAAGCACACTTTGTCAGAGGCTGCACCGCATGTTATGCGCTTTTGCCTGCACAATCAATCATCGCATCGATCAAGGAGGATCCCTCGTCTACAGAAGGCACCTCGCTGGTGGTGGTAATGCTTTCCGCTTTTTACTCGGTCAAGGGAGTCAAATCTGCTTGTGGCTCCTGACAGCAGCTCAGCGACCAGGTGCTCAATTCATCAATGGGCCCCGTATATAAGGTCGCTGATTATCCAGATGACATGTGAACAGATTTGTTGGGCAGTCCAAGGACACACGAGCCTGATGACGGTCCTTGTGACTGGTGGGCACGGTCGCTGATGCGGCGTCTTTCCCTGGAAACAGAGGCACTGCAGTGACACATGGAGTGCGTGGCGACTCGACAGGAATATGTGACTGGATGCTATGCTCTGAGCGCTCGCAACCTGTACGCTTGTTGACTACATATTTATATTGCACGGACCCGCCGCCCGCCCCAAGATCACTTGACCGTAGGCCAGCTCGAGCAGCTGTATCAACCAAATCAACACTCGTATCAGACATGCAGCAGCAGTGTTCGGGGCTGATCACGGGGGGTGCGGGGAGTAGATGGTGCATTCCCTCGCGGTTCAGCCAGCTAAGCCGCATCACACGGTGAGAACGAATATATCAGCCACTATCCTACGCAAATGCAGTCCGGCAGCCCCTCATTGTCGCTCATGCCGTCGACGATGGCGGTGACTGTCTGAGTGCACGCTGCTCGTGCTATCGACGCTGCTCCATCCCACTGCCGCCACGCCGAATCCCGTTGCAGGCGCGCCGTCGAGCGCGACCTGGACTGGGAGCCCAACCTGAAGAAGCCGGTCACATCACCACCAAAGACCAACTTTGGCCAACCCCCGCCGCCGCCCCCGCCGCCGCCGGCGCCGACCGCTGTGGTGCGCCACCGCGCTCCCACGGGGTGCCTGGCAGGGGCAACCCATCAATTGGTGGCATAGCCTGTTGTAGATGCCAGTGGGACACGGCAGGTGCCGCGATAGCCGATGCGGCACAGCCAGACAGCCGCGAATGGCGGCCTGTCGCTCCCCCACCCCGCCCTGTGACGTCACCCGCCTCCCACCCTGCCTCTCCGCAGCCGTGGTACGAGGCACCGTTCAGCAGCCGCCGCAACATCGGGCTGACTATGCTGCTCGGCTCTGCAGGACTGCTCTTCTACAACAAGAGTGAGCGCGGCGCAGCGACGCAGCCGAGCGCCCGGCGCGGCGGAGGCGGGGTCTCGGCGGCGTGGCGGGGGAACCATCTGAGGCTGGGGCGGCTGTGCCGGCGGCGGCGGCGGCGGCAACAGCCAGGGGTTGGCAGCATCGGCAGCAGGGTCAAAGCCAGTGGTGGAGGGCATGGCTTGCATGCCCCGCGACCACGAAGGGCGGGGCGTACGCCCTGCCAGCCGTGCCGCCATGCGCCTAAGCGTGCCTCCCAACCCAGACCGACGCCCCCAGCCCTCGCCGCCCCTCCCCCTTATCGCCTCCACCCGCAACTCA